AGGTATATGTCTTCAATCTCACTAATTCTGTCTTCCATGGATTCAATTGACCTCCTTTGCCCATTCAATGTGTTACCTAGTTCTGAAAATTTAGTATTAATCTTCTGGATTTCTGTGTGTAGATTTTGTATCATTTCTAATTTTTCATTGATTTTGTCATTTTGTTCTTGTATTGTTTTCTGAAATTGTTCTAGGGTTTTCTCTTGTGTTTTTCTCAATTTTGTCAGTGTTTTCCTTGATCTCTCAATTCATTGAAGGTACCTAAATATAATTCTTTTGAATTCCTTATCAGGGAGTTATGCTGCTTCTTCCTCAGGGATGTGTTTTGGGACTGTATCCTGGTCCCTTGTTTCTCCTGCTTTATCTTGCCTCTTTGTGTGGACCATGATGCTCTGTTTTCTCCGAGGCATTGTGACATTTTTGTGTTTTATTTAATTGGTGATTGTATGTTAGAGTGACTTACCCACGATTTTTGTTTTCTTTGTATGTTAGCTATGTAAGCAGGGTACTGTGCTGTGCTCCTCTATTTGCTAGTTGGCAGCACTTATACCTCACCACCTGTCTCCTTTCCTGTTGTCATCCTCCCGTATGTCTCTGCCGTCCTTGGCAAATGGAGCCTATTCTTAGGTCCAGTTTTCATTCACGTTTTTCCACTACTTGGTGCCTAATCCACTTTTGCATACTTCCTTTCAAAGCTCAGGGCTCCAGGATTATCTTCTGTATGTCTGTCAATTGTTCGCTCTTTTCATTGTTAAAGAGGGTCTGTGTAGTTTGTCTGCCTATTCGTCCATCTCACTGAAAGTTTCTTTTCTAACAACTATTTTTTTTTTTTATCTTTAATCAAAATGCTGCAGTTCCATGTTAGCATTCTTTTCACATCCCTCCCTTTATTCTGACTGTAAGGAGTACTTCTTGATGTAAAAGTTATGATGGGAGACTGGGAAGGAGGACCTCATCACCAGCAGAAGGACACTGGTTAAAAGATGCTCTGTAAGGTCCGGGCCTTGAGCACCAGTGGCTGCCACCTCCACAAACTTTGTGCATTTGTCAAAACCACACAAAGAGTAAACCCTAAATGTAAACCAACTCACTGCCGTCAAGTCAGTCCCGACTCACAGTGACCCTCCTTAGGTTTCCAAGGCTATATCTCTACTATCTGAATCTGAAGTAGATTACCCAGTCTTCCTACCAAGAAGCAGCTGGTGGGTTTGAACTGCTAGCGTTCTGGTTAGCATTTAAATGCCTTAGGCACTATGCCACCAGAGCTCCTAATGTAATCCACAGACATGAGTTTATAATAACGTATCAGTATCAGTTCATCCATTGTAACATGTAACACACTAATGCTGGAAATTTTCCAAAGTAAAAAGTTTTTTTACAGAAGGAAAAAAAATAGTACTCTGGAAAAAGAGGCCACCAGGTATCAGTGACCTCCTGATGGAAGAACTCAGCACCAACTATGAAACAGTCTTGCCTCTCACCAAGCAAAATCAAACCTGAGCCTGATCAAGTTTCTACATCCAACTACCAATTTACAAGAAAGACCGAAAACAGAGAATCATGGGGCACAAACAGCAAAATCCAGGCTTTGGGAACTTCTATAGGATAAACAATCCAGTTTCTTCAACAAATAAATAGCAAGAGTGGGGGACAGGGGAGATATGGGAGATACGGAGGGAATCCTACAGGTTAAAAGAGACTTCAAAGATATCAACCAATTGCAATACGTGGAACTTATTTAGATCCTGACTCAAGCAAACTGTACATATCATGTACATTTTTGTCAAAACTCATAGGGATGTACAACACAAAGAGTGAATCCTAGTATAAACTAAGGAGTATACTAAAAACCAAACCCATTGCCATCCAGTCAATTCCAACTCATAGTGACCCTATGGGACAGAGCAGGACTGTCTCATAGGGTGTCCAAGGCTGTATATCTTTACCAAAGCAGACTGCCTCATTTTTCTCCCATGGAGCAGCTCGTGGGTTCAAACTGCCAACCTTCTGCATGTAGCCGAACACTTTACCCACTGTACTACCAAAGCTCCTGATGTATCAATATTGGCTCATCATATGTAACAAATATACCATACTCATGCAAGATGTTAGTAACAGGAGAAATAGTGCACAAGAGGGAACTCTTCATACTTTCTGCATAATTTTTCTTTATACCTTAAACTGCTCTGAAAAATAAGATGTGTTTGAAAAAAATAGCACACACACATTTATGACATTTTTGAGATTACTGGGACACTCTGGATATTTGTTCAATGCATCAAATCTATTCTTTACATGGTTTCTAAATTCATATAGGATATAATCATGGTCATATTTTGGCTCTCATGGACTTGTTTTAATTGTCTTCAGCTTCAACTTAAACTTGCATATGAGCAGTTGATGGCCTGTTCCAAAGTCAGCTCCTGGCCTTGTTTTGGCTGAAGATATTGAGCTTCTCCATTGCCTCTTTCCACAGATGTAGTTGATCTGATCCCTGTGTACTTCATCTGGCAAAGTCCATGTGTGCAGTCACTGTTTATGTTGTTGATAAAGGTATTTGCAATGAATAAGTCGTTGGTCTTGCAAAATTCTATCATGCAATCTCCAGTGTTATTTCTATCACCAATGCCATATTTTCCAACTACTGGTGATTCTTCTTTGTTTCCAACTTTTGCATTCCAATCACCAGTGATAATCAACACATCTTGAATGTATGTTTGGTCAATTTCAGACTGCAGAAGTTGGTAAAAATCTTCAATTTCCTCATCTTTGGCTTCAGTGGTTGGTGCGTAAATTTGAATAATAGTAGCATTAACTGGTCTTCCTTCTTGTTGTTGTTGTTATGTGTCCTCGAGTTGTATCTGACTCATAGTGACACCTCCTTGGGTTTCTGAGGCAGTATCACTATGGAAGTAGATTGCCCAACCTTCCTTCTGAGGAGTGGCTGGTGGGTTTGAACCGCCAGCCTCCTGGTTAGCAGTCAAGTGCCTTAGGCACTACACTACCTATCACTGATAGCACTGTACTTCAGGACACTGAAACATTCTTCGTGATGATGAATGCCATGTCCTTCCTCTTCAATTTTTCATTCCTGGCAAAGTAGATCATATGGTTATCTGATTCAAAATGGCCAAAACCAGTCCATTTCAGCTCACTAAGGCCTATGATATCGATCTTTATGCATTCCCATTTCATTTTTTACAACTTCCAATTTCCCTAGATTGTACATTCCATGTTCTGATTATTAAGCAGCTGTTTCTTCTCATTTTGAGTCAGGCCACATCAGCAATTAGAGGTCCCAGAAGCTTTACTCCATCCACATGATTAAGGTCAGCTCTACTCTGAGGAGGCAGCTCTTCCCCAGTTGTACTTTGAGTGCGTTCCAACCTGAGGGGCTCATCTTCCAGCACTATATCGGACAATGTTTCAGGGCTATTCATAAAGTTTTCCAGCACTATAGCAGACAGCTTTTCATTGCTATTCATAAGGTCTTCACTGACCAATTCTTTGAGAAGTCAATGGCCCCTTCCTGGATATTTGATGATAAGATCAAGGAACTATTGTTAAACTTTTTGTTGGGTGTGATCGTTCAGTGGTAATGTTTAAAAAAGAAAGAGTTCTCATCTTTTATGGGTGTATAATGAAATATTACAAATGAAATGATGCAGAATCTGGGATTTTTTCAAAATAACATGAGAGAGGGTAAAGTATGTAGAAATTACATGGGGTCCAAGTGGCCATGAATTAACAATTATGAAGCTGAGTCATGGCTACATGAGGATTTGTTATCATCTTTCTATTTTTGTGTATGTTTGTGTACGTTTGAAATAAGGTATAGTAAAAAGTTTTGTTTGTTTTTTTTTTAAAGTAGAAGCAAATGGTACTTTATGGAAAAAGAGATTTTACCAAAAAAAAAAGGTAAAAACCCCTGAATTCAGTAGTTTAAATGAACTTCCATACTGCAGGATTTCTAAGAGCCTTGAATCATTAAAGTGCACAGTGACTCTGTAAGAGACAGAGACACTGTGCACAGCCCATTCCCAAACTTATTTGGCCAGGGTCCCCTTTCCGTCAAGTGAATTTCTAGGATCAGAGTTCCCCAAACCACTCTGAGAAATCTCTTCCTTGGTGAGTAATCATTTTCTGCAGAGACCCTGTCTACTAGAGAAAAACCCTAGGGAAATCTAGGCTATATGTGGATATGGATGATGGTATAAATTTTCTTTCTGTCTTCAATCTTCTTTCCTATGCTTTCTAAACTTCCTATAATGAGCATACATTGTTTTACAATCAGAAAAAAATTTTCAAATAGTAACCTTAAGGATTTACATAAGTTTCTTCATTCTACCTTTTTGTATGCTGCAAAATTTCTGTAATCAAAATTATCTTAGTACTGTGAATCACTGAGTTGGTCTTGGGCCCATTTTAACTTTTCCAAAAGCCAGTGGGGACTCTGTAATCAAGCAGGGCTGATATGATAGAGACTCTACCAACCACTTCCCCAAGACTGTGCTTGAAAGTTATACTCAGACACTTTACCAGCTGTCTCTGCTGAGTCAAAGGCTTATCTATGTAGGTGTCGGCTACCCCAGTGACACATTAATATTTAAGCTCAAAACTTCCTCAGAGGCCACTCAAGTCACCTCAAAGGCATGTGGAGAGATAGCAGACATCCAGGCAAGCCAGATTCCAGCTATTCTGTGTGCCTCTAGGACACAACCCTCCACCAACCTGCTATGGAGAGATAGAAATCCTTGAAGTCCTTAATCTCCCTGGAGCCCTCACAGGCTGCAAGACACCCATAAAAGGTTCTGAAGAAATCAGGAAGGGCCAGCTCCATGTCTGTGACAGATGTTCTCCAGTTCTCGCCATTGTACGCCCGCACTGCTCGGATGAACAGGCTCTGAAACACAAGGAGAAGCCAGTGAAGCCTGCTTCCAGCCATGAAGAGAGATAGATATGTCCTCCACAAAGGAATCAAGACCATCATCAAGCTGTACTCTCATTAACTGTAAGGAAATCACCAAAAAAAAAAAGCCATAGAGTTAATTCCAATTCATAGCAACCCTGTAGGACAGAGCAAAACTGCCCCTAAAGGGTTTCCAGGGCTGTAAATCCTAACAGAAGCAGACTGCCTCATCTTTTTCCTGCAAAGCAGCTGGGAGATTCAAACTGCTAACCTTCTGGTTAGCAGCCAGAGCTTTATCCACTGTACCACCACAGTTCCTTGAAGAAACTATACTGGCCCTTAATTAAATATGAAGCCAGTCAGTGACCTACTTTATACCTAGATTTTTCTACCCTCACAATGGGTACGCTTTTTATTTAGTTTTAATTCAAAATGTAGGTGGTGTTTGATAACAAAATCAAATTGGAATCAAGGAAAAGGCAAAACTATACTGGCAGGAATCAGATCAGTGATTGCCAGGGGCCAGAGGTTGGAGCTAGGGGTTGACAACAAAGGGGCATGAGGGACTTTTTGGAACTAGTAAAAATATTCTTTATTATGATTATGGTAGAAGTCACATGACTATATACATTTACCAAAACTCATCAAATTGAAAAAAAAAGGGACCAGGTCTGCTGGTCTGATAGAGCCTGATGGAACCACTGAGACCATGGCCCCCAGTGGCCCTTCAGGTCTGGAACTGAACCCACTCCTGTGGCTTCCAGCCAAACAAAAGACGGCATATGAGCTGAACATTTACATTAGATAGACACACTCCTTGGAGAGATCAATCATGGGAGAATAGAAGGGCTGTGTATGCACAGGAAGACAGCTCAGGGGGCAGGAGTGCATGGAGGGAAGGACACAGGGAAGAGGTAACTATGGGGAGGAAGTAAGAGGGGTGCTGTTGCATTGTGGGAAACTGCAGTCAATGTCATGAGACAAAGTATATGTGAGCTGCTGTATGGAAAATGAATTTGCTCTGTAAACTTTCACTCAAATCACAATTTAAAGAAAAAAAAAACCATCAAATTGGTAGATACACTGCAAAAAAATTGTAGCTCATTAAAACTGATTTTAAAAATGAATGAAGAAAAAGACAAAAACTTGAGAGCAGGTATCTAATACCCCTCCTCTTCCCCAACAGTGAAGCATAAAATAGGAGGGCCATGCATCAGCATAGTGACTGGGGAGAGCAGCCACGTATCACATTCTGAAAACTTCAAAAGATTTCTGCTAGCTTGGTCTCCAAGAATTAAGTAGAGATTTTGGATACTCGGAAATCTGCCAACTTGGAGGGGCCTGGACAGGCCTTGAAACAAGCCTGGGACTCTCCATGGAAAGACCCTTTCTGATTGCTCCAGGATGGGGAAATCTGAGGACTACCACTTGAACCTAAAATTTTCACCAAGCCAAAGGCCTTTATTTCTCTCCCCTAAGTCCCTGGCTAGGAGTTTCGTACTGCAGTGGTTAAAGCACTTGGCTGCTAATGGAAAGATTGACAGTTTCAGCTCACCAGCTGCTTTGCAGAAGAAAGATGTGGCTGATTTATTTACGGCCTTAGAAACCCTATGGCTCTGGTGGTGCAGTGCCTAAGTCATTTGGCTGCTAACCAGAAGCTTGGTGGGTGGTTCAAACCCATTAGCCTCTTCATGGAAGGAAAAGGGGAAATCTACTTCTGTAAAGATTTACCTACCACCTTAGAAACCCAATGGGGGTTGCTATGAGTCAGAACTGACTCGATGGACGTGCGTCTGGTTTTAGAAACCCTATGGGGCAATTCTACTCTGCTCTACAGGGTTACTACAAGTAGGCATCAACTCAACAACAGTGGGTTTGGTTTTAGGAAGTCCCTGGTGGTACAAATGGTTAAGAACTCAACTACTTGCCAAGAGATTGGCAGTTTGAACCCATCAAGATGTACCTTGGGAGACTGGTGATGTGCTTCTGAAAGGTTATAGTCTTGAAAACCCTATGGAACAGTTCTACTCTGCACACACAGGGTCACTCTGAGTTTGAATTATTTCAACAGCAACTAACAACAAAAACTAATTCCCTGAGTAGGCAGCATGCCCTGGAAACAGGGTAGGTGGAGAACGGAAGTGCCTTGTCTGGAGGCTGGGTTTATGAGTAGTCACTCCAAAAAGCTAGCTATGTAGAAGCAGTAGGGTGGCAGCAGCAAGAAGGAAGCCAAGCAGAGAGTGCGAGCCAGCCCACTCAACAGGAGGGCAGCCCAGCCACACCCAGCAGGCTCTAAAGAGGAAAAGAGAACTCTAGCCAACTTCCAGTTAAATGCAGCACACTGGCCACATATATTCATCTCTGCAACTCAAGCCCTAAAAAATGAAGAATGTAAAAAGGCAAAAACCCTTTTTATAGGCAAAAGGCAGAGGAGAAAGCAGCAGACAAAAGATTTCAACAACTTCTCAAAAGACAGAAAGCCAATGTATCACAGAGGAGGGTCAAGAAGAAGAAGTGAGCTGTGTGCTCTGCTCAGTCCTTGCAGGGACCATGGAGGCTGGGGTGAGACACGGAACTGAAAGCAGAGCTGAAAGTCTGAGGTTGGGCTGCTACTCACCTAGGTTTCCTTCAAGCATTCCCCTGCCCACCCAAGATACCAGACCTTCCAAAACCACTCCTTACCAGAGACAGGCGATTTATTCTAGACTTTACCCAAGAAACCTGAGGAGTCAGGGACCAGGCATAGTGGAGCCCAGGTTGAGGCATGGAGCTGAGGGGAAGTCTTCTGACTCAACTGTGAGACCCCACCCCCAACCCACTCCACAAACTGGCTCTCAGACAACAGCAGACACACATGAATACCCTACTCTCCCTGAAGAAAACTGGAGAATTTTTTCCTTGAAAACTGAATGGTCCCCAGAAGAGACTTCTGCACACTCCATCTGGGGTTACCTGCCAGTGAAAAGGTAACCCTGCAGTGTGAGCACACTATGGAGACCTTATAGTCACATTTTGGCATCTGAAATCTCCTCATAGATACTTTTCAATACATAATCATTTTCAGCCCCTGCCCAACCTCGGCTTTCTTTGGTACCCATGGCCCCAGTGGCTAAACTCAACAGGACCTAACAATAGTAAGTGCTCCTAAGGATAAAAAACTCAAAGCCAAACCTGTCGCCATCATGTTAATTCCAACTCACAGCAACTCTACAGAACAAAGCAGAACTACCCATGGGGTTCCCATGGCTGTAAATCTTTACAGAAGCAGACTGCCACATCTTTCTCCCATGGACCAGGTAGTAGGTTCCAACCACAGACTTTTCAGTTGGCAGGCAAGAGCTTTAATCATTGTGCCACCCAAGGTCAATATGATTTAAAATGACTTGATGGCAATGGGTAATCAAAAGGTCCTGATTACTGTTATTGTTATTAATGCTGCTGTTGTTAATTTTCATCAGAACTCTCCCTTGTAGACATATGGGTTTTGATATTTACTCTGGCAAGTGAGTCCCCCAGTTCCTGTTCTTTTCCACCTTAATACATGTAATACACAATTTGAGGTTACAGTGTTTCCTACTTTTATCAAAGATAGATATTTATGTTGCTGTTTCTTGTGTTCCTGTTATTGATTAACTTGTGCCTCGCTCCACCCCCCAAAAAATGTATTGAAATTCTAACTCCTATACCTGTGAAAGTAATGCTATTTATAAATAGGGTTTTGTTTGTTTGTTAAGTTTGTTAGATCATACCTCAGTAAGGTGGGTTCTAAATCTAATCACTTCTGAGTAATAAAAAGAACAGATTAGACACAGAGACATGCACACATGGGGAAGACAGACAGCATGTGAGGATCGTCTACAACCTAAGGGATCAAAGAATGTCAGGGACTCCCTATGGGGAAGGAATTGACACGGTAGAGCCCCTGATTTTAGCCTCTGAAACTGTGAGAAAATAATTTTCTGTTCTTTAAAGCCACCCCCTTACGGTATTTTTGTTAGAGCAGCACTAGATAACTAAGATATTGGTTATTTTTGGAGGATTTCCAAGAAAACAACTTTACTTCGCCATCTTAAAACTCAGTGATCAAACTATGGGGAGGAAGTGGGAGGGGAGATGCTGCATTGTAAATTTTGGTCAATGACATGAGACAAAGTATATGTGAACTGCTGTATGAAAAGTGAATTTACTCTGTAAATCTTCACCCAAATCCTA